CGTTATTTCACTATTTTTATATGAAGACATCATTATTTAATTCTAAATAAAAAAAAATCACATATGAGTTCATTTTTTCTATATTTTACTTCATTTATACAATGATATGTTTAATAAATAAATAAATTTATTTTACAAACTTACTCCACGAAAATTATTCGACACCACGTGCATCGCACGTGCACTTTACTAGTTTTTTAAATTACAGGACTTAAAAATGTTATATGTCACTCCAGTGATGCCTAAATAGCTACTTGCATAATCTAATTAGAACCAAATTTGCAATTTAGTCCAGAACTTATCTTCTAGACTAGTTCAATTCAAGGCTAAAATTACAGCAGGTTCGGTTTTTCTACCAGTGGAAAAACATAAAATGAAAACAGAACTAGCTCACCGAGCCATTTCCGGGACCACCACAGTATATGAAGTTTTTGCCCATCGAGAGAAACAAAGGTTTTGCAAGCCTATAGGCTTCCTCTGAGCCGCCAACCTGAAAGATATCAGAAAATTCATCTTTTTTTCACGGGGGTGAACAAAAATAAAATGGAAACGAAAAAAGGATGATCACACGCGAGGATTAAAAACTAAAATTGGAAGGAAAACCGACAAAAGAATACAAGATTAGAGCTACCATAAAAGTGAGTGATCCATTTTCAGCTGATAGAATACCTCCGGATACAGGAGCATCCAACATAAAAAGGCCTATAAGCGAATATATAATCAAGTTATGAGTATTTTTTATTTCTTATGTTACTGAAGGAAATAACAAACCGAACAAGGAAAGCAAACAAGTTACAATTTTCTCTACCTTCCTTTGTATTAGATACGGCTGCCGAAAGCTTTCTTGATGTCTGAGGATCAATAGTCGAGGAATCTATGAACAAAAACGATCTAAGATCCTCGCTATTAAGCATACCCTTAGGCCCCATATAAACATCTGTCACCTACATATTTAAGCAACACAGAGAAATATTTATCGACTACTAATTGATTCGAAACTGCTTAGTAAAGCAATAAAATTACACTGGATATTGAGTACGAGATGAGTTAGCAAATGCCGGTTAATTTTGGAAGCTTACATGATGGGAAGATGGCAACATAGTAATTACAGCATCACTTGCTTCAGCAACTTCAAGAGGTGAATTCTTTGTAAGAATGCCTTTCTCAGATAATTTGGCCATAACATCATGGTTTCTGTATCACGCTAAAAGACGTAAATGCCCCACGAAAAGTTTTAAACCAAGACTGCAAATTTTCAACCATATCAAAAGGAATTCTTGAGCTACATGTTTTCAGCTAAATCTATCATCGTCCTTGAGACTGACGGTTCATACATTCAAATGATTTTCAAAATTAAGCCAGATATAATAGAGGTGAAGAATATATACAATTATAATTAATTGAATAAGAGATTAGAACACGAAAAACTTTACACATCATGGACCACAACATTGTATCCAGCTTTAACCAAGTTATTTGCCATGCGGGATCCCATATTTCCCAGTCCTATGAATCCAACCCTCTGCAATATATCAATAAACCAGCTCAACAGAAAACACTAAAATTAAGAATAAAAACACAACAGGGAACAAGAAAGTCAGAATACTACAAGTTATTATAAGACAATTTATACTTGACCGCACCTACATGGAACTAACAAATTTAGGAAAATGCTACGGTCCCTTTACGGAACCATTCCGTCCAGATTTGTAACCGTTAGATCAACTATTCTCGACGGTTTGCATGATGATCTAACGGTTACAAACCCCGACAGAATGGTTCCGTAACGGGACTGTAGCATCTCCCACAAATTTAACATAATTCTGCAAGAGTTAAGAACAAACTAATCTATCCAAGTTTAGAACTTCAGATCAAAGAATCAGTGCACGAGAAGAAGGCAAATGGAGAATCTGTAACTTTTACAGTTGCATTGCTCAAGTTTATCTATGTTTGTGTTCTGTGTCAAGCTGTCAATTAGATTCATTCTCAAAAATGGCAGCACTGATTAATCAGAAGCAAAGTTGGCTAAATTACATCTCATCACTCTTAACACCAACAAGAAATCGAGCATCTTCAAGAAGAAAATTAAATGAAAAAAAAAAAAGTACATCTTTATATACTTAAAAACAAACAAAGTAAACCTTTTTAGTTTCTTTCTTCTCTTTTCTCTGCCAATTCTACCAAGAGACTGGGAAAAAAAAAAAAATCTTGAATTAAGAAGGTGAAATACGTTTGCAGTTGCTAAACTCCTAAAGGGGTAACAAGAATTTGAGCAACCTAGGAAATTCCGAAAAGCAAAGGGCAACTATTTAATAATAATAAAAAAAAAAAAAAAAAAGCATAAACCCACTTCAAATCGAGATGAAACTGGTGACGAGCAAAACATGCGAGCCCGAGAAAAATACGACGATGAAAAAGAGGAGATTTTGGTGCAACCCTTGTTGTTAAGTGACAGCAGCCATCTCAGTTTGCAGCTGCTCCCAGTGACCATTCTTGATATTCAGAGAGATTCTTTTTTCTTGAGGATGAGAGTTTTGAGAAGACGTTTCTATTCCACGCGCCTAATATATGTGTTTTTCTCCTGTGCGTGCTGATAGCGGACCGAACTTAATTAAGGGAAATGCTACCATCCCGTTATGGTACCGTAACGGGACCGTAGGATCTCCCCTTAATTAATGTCTTGCCTAATTTATTATGTTATACTACAGCGCTAATTTGGTCTGTTCGAAATTTTTTTAAAGAGTTTTTCCTTTGTCATTAGTTGAAGACATCATTTTCAAGCAATCCCTCCGTCGAGTAATGCTCACCTACTCACGGTAGGCACATGTTAATATGCTTACTGTTTATGTGACATGCACAAATTAGTGATGTATTTTATTGAACATATTAACATCACAATGAGTGGTTGATATATTAACATGTACTCACCGTGAGTAGGAGAGCATTATCCATCTCTCATATCCAAAATTTATGAACATGGAAGAAAAGTATTCAACAACGTGTACTTTGATCCTCAGATAATTCTAAAGACCCATATTCCATGC